ATATTTAATGTATCGTTCGCAACACAAACATTTCTTACAATAAAATGCATTTGGAGATTCCCATTTCCTGTCAGCTTTTCCCAGAATTTAATCAGACGTGTACTCGACATGCTACTTAATGATTAAGTAATACAGCACCTTTCATGTTCAGGAAGACGCCTCAAAGCGCTTCCCCGGACTGCAAAGTATAATGACTGTGTGTTTTGGATACAAATGCGACAGCCAAATTGCACACAGCACTGTCCGATAAACAGCCACTTGTCATTTTACATACTAGTCTAGTGAAGTCTGTCATAAGGTTGACTAAACTCGATTACAACTCCAGCTTCGAAACTATTAAAGAGTTTAAGCCACTACTGATGCCCCAAAGAAAAGCTTAGTACTTACTAATCCCAAGGCATCTATAAAAACAAAGGTAAGACTTAACAGAAGTCTTACTGTGGGACTTGTCGAAGGCTAATTAGCGTCCGACCACTGAAACATGGCTTTTGAAACCTGAACCCAATTGCAGGTATCCATGTGATAGTATGAGCCACAGTATAGTATCATTAGCAAATTCAGAACCAGTCGGAAGAACATCTATAAGAACAATCTCTTTGATCGGCCAACAAAATAAATCTTTTTGTTTGAATATTTCTTGATTCATGCCAAAAATCAAGAAATATTTAATCAAGAAAAACAGACTGGAAACACACTTCTGGCTAACAGTCCACAGATTGGCCCCCACAGAGTCAACAGCGACAAAAAACATCCAAAAAGATATATATAAAAAAATCTAACTAAGATCACAACAGTTAGGACGTAGGCAGAGGTATTTCATTGGCCTTAAAGTTAACTTCTGCTCTCACACTTCAATCTGTCACTTATGTCTGAATGTATATGGGCTGGTTTAAGCTATGGCTGATTTTTGGAAAAAAAAATGTTTTAGAAACGGAATGATAATGATATCCAGCTTCTGGATGAGCAAACTGCACATTGTCTAATCATTAAAGTTATTCTTTTCCATAAGCTTGCCAATACTCTCCTGCTGGTCGCCAAAGGAATGTTTCATTTCCAATCTTCGGAAGTGTGAGTTACACTGAAAATATTTTGTGAAGAGGCATTTAAACTGTTCACCAGAGTCCGGAGTGCTTGCTTTATTCTGTTTCCTTCCTTTGCCAGAAGTACCCATACAAAAGCGAGTGTACTTTCTACTGAAGACGGCACCACTTGAGACCCTCCCTCTATATTGGGTCACATATTCAAATCCTCTTGTAATAAAGGGTCAGCAATACCCCGGGGCACTGCCGATGCTAGAACACAGCCTGGGTTGATAGAAAAGTGCAGAAATATTTGGAGGGAAATTGTGGGGGTATTTGTCAAATTTCGCTGAAAATTTGATTGATTGGTACTATCGAGACGCAATTTGGGGAAATTCCCTACATCAAAACCATAGGCATATATTTCCTGAACAGGTCGTTATGTTGAAAATATTAAAAATGTTCATTCGAATGGTGCAGCACTTACCAAGGATTGGTCGCATGGGTTTGTAGCGGAGGGGCGTGTTTTTAGTGGATTCCGCGGGAAACGTGAGGCAATTGGCCCAGGTCATGGCTCAACAGCAGGACCTGGGAGGGTCAGACCACAGGAGCAAGGGATTCTTTCCACTCAGCTCCTGATAACTCAGCAAGCCAAAGCCCTAATTGGTAGGATGGTCTCAGCTCATTATTTTATATGAGTGGTTCAAATGAAAAGGATCCATACAAACGAACAAAAAAAAAAAAAAGTTGGAATAAGATCAGGATTTTTGTTTTCAAGACGATCGAAAAAAAATTCAAAGAAGGACCAACGCAGGAAAGTTACGATAAAGGGTGAAAAGAAACACAAAGGAAAGTAACTACTGCATTTCAAAGTGATACTACGTATGCCCAAAATGAATGAACTGCTCCTGATTTCATCGCTTCTGTATCAAATTATAGTCCCCGAACGAAGCTTTGCATTGGAACAACTGCATCTAAGTCCAAGTTCAACATTGCTTGTAATAGGTTGTGTGTGTGGTACAGCAATCAGCTTACAGTCGGTTTACAGTATGTGTCTCGCTGAGAACCACAGGGAATGAAAACCCACCCACAAAGCAGTCAATTGTGGGTTATCAGCACTTTGGGTCATTGCTGGGTTAGCAATTGCAAAAAGGTCATTACGGTCATATCTCCTGTATGAACAAATAAATCATCAGGATGTCTCGACCACAACATTTATTTTGTAAGCAACTTGACCATCAAAACATCAATTAGCTGGATCTTATCCAGGGTATTTGCTTTGATATTTTGCTCTAACCTTAAAGGGTGATTAACTCTGCGATGCCATAAATTATTTTATCCCCGGAGATACTAAAATTCAGTGTGCAGTGTAGACTTTATTGCTTTCGGTTGGCAATTTTCAAGAAGCCTAACATAATACGGAAAGTAACAATAATCCTTGCAATTGATATAGCGCCTTACGAGACGTCTCAAAACGCTTCGCAGAATATACTGTGAAGTGACTGTGTATTTTTGTGGCTGAAAGCTCAATGTGCGAACAGTCCAATTTATTAAAATATACCCACCCCAATCCGCTCACCACCAATTTCAAAGATATTTCTTTAAAACATAGACCCATAAACTTCTTACCAAACAAGCTTCTACACATCTGATCATTTTCACTGCAACGATGCTTGTTGGAGCAAGTTTTTTTTATAGGCTTTTTTTTTCAGTTCGGGTTTGAGGAATGTCAAGAGCAGTATGAGGGTTTCAATCGCTCAACAGCGAGCCCGATTTCTTAGTAGGAAGCTTGCCAATGGGCACACCGACCAGGTGGACTGTACTCACTGCGAAGCCTGCAAGAAAGAGATCGACTCAAAGCAGTGCGTATCCTCCCGAAATAAAGCGAAAGCTTATGCAGAAGTAGCAATTCACAAGTTGTCTGTCGTTGAACAGATCCTTTGGGGTTTGATGAATAAAATCCTGGTCCTGGAATGTTGGGAGTGGAAGCTCTCCAGACCATGCTAAATATAATACAGAGGGAGAGGGAAATGGGTGATTTTTAAGGATTGCAAAGAATCTGACCGGAATTCTACAAGAAACTGAACCACATTGTCCTGTTAAATACATTCACCATACCGTACTGTGATTGTGTGCCTGGGAGTTGCCATGGGACACAGCATTCAAATCTGGTGAAGGCTTTGAGATGTCTTAACGACGGGACAAGGCACTGTATCAAATGGAAATGGAAGGATTGTTACAGCGCCTGAAATGACCATTTGTTAGAGAGAACAAGAGAACTAGATTTCAAAATGCCCGCATTTGCTGATGCTGGAGCCGGCACGCAAAAGGAACTCTTTTGTCTTGAACGGTAAATAATACTTTTAGATACCGACAAATCAAGGAACAACTCCAGCAATGGTAAGAAAGGCTTCGTAGACAGCGAGTGGGGTTTTCCATTAGCAAGTTTAAAATCTTAATGACACGCGATTGTGTGTAATTTTCTTCGAGTTGACTGATTGTTCAATAAAATACTATTTAATTGAGCAGATAACCCCAAGGTTTCCCTGTGCGGGCCAGAGATGGAGCGCTGACTGTATTGAGCAAACGGGATCTGCTTTTTCAACCCAGAATCGGGACAAGTGCCAAATAATGATTAACCAACGGTTCAAATTCTTTTCACTGTAAAGCTGTACATTTCAAAGAGACCAAGAAGTGTCTCTTCATCAGAGTTTTTCCCCCTTCTCTCAGGATTTTCTCCTAATTTGGACAAACCTACCCATTGACCAGCCCAGCCCTGTCTCATCTGATGTCCATTCCAACAGGAAGAGTGCAGCTACAAAGCCATTGGCTGAGTGAAAACCTTGGTTGATTTTCTCCCCCCTCCCTTGTCCAACCCAGTTGGGAGTTTATCACAGTTGCACCCCAATAAAAACAACAATAATAATCCTTGCATTTGATATAGCACCTTAACACGTCATTGAGACGCCTCAAAGCGCTTCACAGAATATATTGTAAAGTGGATTGACTCTGTATTTTGTGAGCGAAACACGGTAGCCAATTGCACACAGTATTGTACCACAAACTGCCGTGGATTGAGTGACTACTACTTATTTTTTTAAAAAAGGCATTATTACCCCCAAAATCGATTAACAACTGGGTTCCTACTTACCGCCAGGCAAACCGAGGTATGTGGAGTAAGGAAAATAAGGTTTCGCCCCTCCCGGGAATCAAACCTGAGCCCTCTTGCTTGCAAGACAAGTGTGCTAACGACTATGCTAAGGGACTCCATTTTGCCTCCAAAGCTGAGTTCCCATAACACTATTGGAGAAGAGAAAGGAATTTCTCCCCTGGTGTTCTGGGCATCAGTCTTCCAGATAGGTTGGTCATTTACCTCACCTGTTTGTGGGACATTGCTGTACACAAATTGGTTCCCACGTTTGACTAAGATTCACCACTCTTGATACCAATTACCTGTGAAGTTATAGGAGCAATATTAAATGCAAGGATCATCATTACGACATAAATTCAACTGAACTTGCTTGCAGCTGACTAGCTTGGTGCAATCCACCCATTTCTCTATGCTAACAGAGGGCAGGAATTACCCTTTAAACCCTGTTCGTCACTTGCCGATGACGGCGCCAAGTTTGGCACCATCAAACATACGGCCAACACTAGACTAATGTTGGTCTCTTAAAACTATCTCTCTGCAGTCTGTGCCCATCACTGCGGAGTCTAAAGCACCATCAAAGTTAGGGGCGCGAGCCTGACATTCACCTGATGTATTTCTGCCATTCTGCACAATGAATTACAGACACATATGATTGGCAGCAGCACAACGCTAGAGCAGAAAGTATATAAGAGAAACAATGTAAATACTCCCTTCACGTAATAATAGTCCGGAATGAGGGGGAGCAAACTACTCGCGTCTTGCAGTGATGATGGTGGGGGGGGGGGGGGGGGGGGGGAGAAGAGGGTAGGGAGAAAGAAAAGGAGACACCGTATTGATAATACATTTATTTCTACCTCCCTGTAAACATTTTTGTTCTGTTCAAAAAAAAGACGTCCCAGGGTGTAACATCTAACATACCATTTCATACAACAATGTAAATATCCAACAGCAGAGGTTAATCAACATGCTGGATAGTGGTTGGAAGTGTGTCTGTGGGAGGGGAGGAAGAACAAATGCAATACAAATATCTTTCAGGAAATAATGTAAATTTAGCCAACCAGTTCGGAAGAAATCTAAGCCGGGTTGTCAGACCTACAGACCTCCTACTCGTGAGCACCAGCTGAGAAACTCGAGATTTCTTTCTATCATCATGTCCAAAGACATCTCCTAAGCTGTTCCTTCCTGTTCCGTCTCCTATTCCTGTTCCGTCTCTTCTTCCATCTCTTCTTCCTGTTCCGTCTCCTCCTGGGCCGGGGGTGTCTGAGACAGGACAACGGTTTCCTGGATGATCTGACGGATTTCCGACAGCGCAGTACTGACTGTGTCCTCCAGAGCCATCATAGCACCTCGAATACCTTCCAATTCGGTCGCCACATCAACTTGAAGTTCTTGAAGGCAGCCCTCTATTCTACTGATGCCACCTGCAGAGAGAGCCCCGGCTTGCCCTTCCATGTCCACAAGAACGCTTTCAGCGGCACGCAATCCCGCCAGCCTCCTCCCTCGCCCAATGCTCGTCTGCAGGCCGGGGGCGTTCGAGTGGAGCGCTCCACAGACGCGGTTACGGAATTTCATCTTCTTCCGCAAAGGCTTGGCGGTGAGCGACCGCAGTTTCGACAGAGTCATCTGTTGGGAAGAAAATCCAAATTAACCCTCGAGTCAGTCGCCTGCGGGGGAGGAGGTGGGGGGGAAGGAAAGGGGGGGGGTGGGGGGGTGAGGGGGCAAAAGAGAGACCAGAAGGCGACCCATGTACTTGATTGAAGAGGAACATAGGAACATTGTCTTAGTGGACACATTTCTTAAAAGCTTTTAGGTTTGACTAGCGACTGGTGCGGCGCCTGTTATCACACGAACGTACGGAAACCCACGTGACAGCTGCAAAAGTAACAGAATGTTAAGAAAGGCGGAATAAGAGTGGAACCTACCAAGGGGCTGGTGATGCCGCTCCTGGGGGAATGGTGTGAGGTGTCCCAGGGCGTTGCTGCTGGCCCCAACGAGGAGACGGTGCCATATTCCTGCCACCCATTTGAAGAGTTCCAATCAGGGGGATCTGAGCAATAGGTTCCTCTAGTTCCGTAACCTGCTCTGGCGAATTGATTAGGGAAGGGGTGGGTTTGGGAGGGTGAGTTGTGGGAGATAGTCCCACAAACCTGTCTGCGCTCAGGGCTCGATCTTGCTCTCTAAGTGACTTGTGAACCCCACCCCCCCAATCTGTAAGTTTGCCTCTTTCAGGTCTTCTTGGTTTGTAGGGTGAGGGGTGGTGGCAGGGTGGGGATTGGGGGAAAGAAAGGGAAACCAAACTCCTCCGAGAAGCCTTTACTTTTCTGTGGGTGGGGGTGAGGGGGAATCATGGTTCCATTAGCCCCCCTCCCTCCCCCCACCCCACCTCATGCCCGTCTTTCTATTTGATTTAAGAGGGAATTACCGTCTACAATTACGCACATTCCGACAGGAATGGGTTGGGGGGTGTTGGAAGAAGTCAACAGATATCGCTCAAGAACCTGGTTTACTTATTGCCTCCATAGCCCAAAGGCACATGCTAAGATCAACAAACTCAGCACAGATTGGAGGGCAAACCTAGGAGCGACCGGTTCTGTGAGTGTGTGTGTGGCTCAGTTTCGTGCCAGCCAGTAACTTTACCAAGGGAGCTATAAAGCCAGTATTGGTTTTATTTTTTTGGCGCACACAGATTCGAAGAGCATTTAGGATTGGGTTGTTCCATCCTTACAAAAGCTGTGTGTTTGTTTTATATACTGTTGCAGAGCTCTGGAAGCAAAATAGCAACAGGTCACAAATATCCCCGAGAAGAAAATTAAATGAATAAAGCATGCAGGCAGGCGTTAAGGCGATTATAAACTAATCACTTTATTAAAGGGGTTCTGGAATGGCAAACTATTTTTGAGCAATGAACAAGTCAACTGCTCGCTCCAAACTTTTAACCGAGGGCTCCAGAGTTCCAGTTATCAGAATATCTTAACAAGAGACGCAATCATACACATATTGCCTTTTGATACTGGACTGTGTAAAACAAAGTTGGAAACGTCTTTATTTTTTTCTTGTCCACAAGTCCAGACTCCTGAAAGATTTCATTTGGCTGCCACATTTGGCGAGACTCCTGAGGATTGGGGTTAAGAGTTTCAGCCTCGTACGCTTTTGGCCTCCGCTATCTCGGTTACATTTTTTTTCGCGAGTTTCCATACTGCTTCAATTAACTCTTGTAGCACATAGCACGAGTCCTACTGGGAACCCGATCTGCAGTCATGCAGCTAGTCTGCAGCTTAAGCTCCTATCTTATTTTGTGTGTTTCTTTTTTTAAGAAAGAAAAGTAGAATTTGATCAATAAAAGGCGCTGGTTAATTTTACATTTTGCGCTCTTTCGTCTGCTCGGTCTCCAGATCTATATTTTTAACATTATAATTACGAGCGTGTAAACATGTGGCCTGCACGAGTGCGGCTCAATAAGGCAATGCTGTGTTTTCTCTTTCTTGCAATCCACCTCTCGGCACGCAAGACACAGGCAACAAAACCAGTCAAGAATCTATCTGCTCCACCCCACTTCACCAAGATCAATACCGACCGCACCTGGAAGTTTCTAGAATGCAGATTTCGTAACGCTAATTTTTCAAATTACTGTTCCCCACATAATATACATATATTATATATATATATATATATAAATAAACGAACACAGCGTTCAAGTTACAGCTGTGAACCAATGGCTAACAGCGTCATTCATTCGACTTGACCGCTGACTCAACCACTTTTCTGGTGAGAGAAACAGTAACGAGCTTTCAATGGGGTGCACAGTTTATTCCACTGTGCGCCCCTGCTATTTGATATAGCGCCTCATCGCGTCTCCGAGACGTCTCAAAGCGCTTCACAGAATATACTCGAAAGTGAATCGACTGTATGTTTTGTGGGCGCAAACAGATATGAAAACATATCGCCGAGCCAGCCTCTTTAAGATAGGAGACGTGAAATGGTTTGGGAACCTATAGCCGAGGAAAGCCTAGAAATATCAAAAGCAACACGAAGCAAAGCCACACACACCACCGTTTGCGGCGAGCTGCTCAGTTGATCCTTTCAGTGAATTGTTTTCATTACGGTCACTGAGGGGCACTTATTCATAATGATCACAAAAAAAGATACAACTGATTTGAGCCACGTAACGCGCAATACAGCTTTGCTCACAAAGTCAGCTTAAATCAGATCTCGACAGCTCTGTTGCTGCACTTGGAAAAGCGTTAATCAATCATTTACTTTAAAAAAAATCATAAAACTAAAAATCAGTGAAAGTGCATCTTATATTGGAACCTCCGAGTAATAATCCCCTCCAGAAATGGGTTATTTTACTCAGTTTAAGAAATAATTCATCAACCAGGCACACTCATCTGTAATCCTCAAAACAAAACAAATTGAAATTTACAGGAAATTGCAACAATGAGGTGAAAGTCACTTTTTTTTAAGTAAAAAAATCAAAATACAATAGTTTGTACTTTTACGGAACCTTTCGTGCAAAATAAAATTGACTGCAAATTGAACATCATTACACAAGCACTTAAGAAGCGTCACCCAAGTCTCATGAACAACAGGATGAACATCTAGCAATCTGAATTTGGGATTCAAGCCCAGGAAGGGTTTTAGTGCAAACACTGTAAAAAATGCATTCCACAGAGACGAACTAAAAGTGAAACAGAATTTTACATGTAGTGAATGCTCTGTCTCCAGTCTCGTTTGATGAACATCACGTCTGAACATTAGTTTCGTAACACTTCGGGCGAGAATTAGTACACAGTATTACACAGACAAACACTGTACAGGTTTAGTGCTGGGTCAATTGGACTCCCAAATGGATTGCCAAAATAAATGGCTGCGGATCTCAGTGCGAGAGTAAAATGTTACTCTATCTCAGCGAGAATCATGCAATTACACATTATATTGATCCTTTCATTACGCAATAATCATTGTGTCATCTCACAACCAACTCTCTTGCTCTCCCCCATCCCACCAGCACTCACACGCACACACCATTGTGAATTTTCTTGAGGTCACAATTGGCAAAATTACACTCGCTCGTTTCAATTCAGGTGAGCCATGCTTTGACCCAGCGCCACGCGGTATACAATATTCACCAAAATATTCAGCCTACCAGTTTTTTTGGTCGACCCCTGGGCGTCCCTCCTCCAATGCTGCTGGATTTCTGAAATGGAAGGAAATAAAGAAAACTATTTTTATATAAAAAAAAGAGCTCGAGTCAGCTTTTAGTTCAGACATCAGTCTCTAATCACCTTCTACTTTGTGTCTATCCAGAGGGCTGTCCATCTATCCAGGTATCTTAACAATAAAATAATTCAACACACTGCATTACTCCTCTATGATCAACGAATGGGATAATAATCCTTGCATTCGATATAGCGCCTTATTATTATTATATTATCACATCTTCGAGACGTCTCAAAGCGCTTCACAGAGTATGATGTAAAGTGTAATGACTGTGTATTTTGATAGTGACTAACATTTCAAGAAAGCAGGTGCACTCCACCAAAAATCAGACAGAAATTGAGTACACTCACTGAGGTAGCAATCCGGTAGGTTTATAGACTGGGAGAACTTTACACCATGGGTTTGACCTATCCTACAGCAATTAATCTATATTTACAAAGGCTCTGCAGACCAGTCTTCAAACACTCTTTTTTTTCCCCCCTAAAAGGAGAGGCTTCATTAAAACCAATGATTTCGCAACATAGAAAGGTCCAAGTCCTTTACATCAATAGCCCCCATCGACAAACACACAAACCAGCAAAAAAAAATTCACAGATGATCAGAAGCACGTTTACCTAGAGCGCAAGAGAAATTAATGCATTCATTTCAATGTACATTTTATTCAATTTCTATTAAAATCAAGACTGTGTTGTGCACAATTGGCCGCCGCGTTTCGCCCACAAAGTATACAGTCACTACACCTTACATTATATCCTGTGAAGCACTTTGAGACGTCTCAAACACATGATAGCGCGCTATTTCAAATGCAAGGATTATTATTATTATTAAGACAAATGCATTGCTCGAGCATAACATTCAAATATAAAGTGTGGCGGTTTACAATAAGGAGTAAAAAAAAATTATGATTTATGATAAAACATTTTTCATTGACTGGGAACTTTGAATCAGTCGCTTTACTCGTTTAGAACCAGTCTCCCCTAGACTGGGACATTAGTCACAGGGGACGCTTGGTACCTGATGTATGGCTTGTGGCCTTTCCTTGAGCAAACGGAAAAAGAAAGATTGCTTTACCAACTTGGTAAAGAATGAACAAGAGATCTTACCACACGTACTGGTAAGAGAGTTGGAATGTCCCTTACTGCCAGACTTCAGACCACAGAGGTGCGAGGCAAATAGTCATGAAATTCCACTGGACGTTCGTCAAGTTGGCTTTACTTTCTTTTAATATAAATATTCCAAATAATGTTCCAACTCAAATACAGATTGAAGCTGGCAACCTCCATTCATAAATGCAACCTCGCTTACAAATTGGCTGCGTGTACAAGCAGATCGACGGCTGTTCTGATGCCCACAGAAGCATTCTTGAGCACTACAGACTCCACGCGACCAGATTTAGATTTGAAAGAACGGGAAAAGCAGCAAGGAGAAAGTGAAGTGAAAAGTCTACCTGTACATCATCTCATTGAACAGTATTATGTAATGCTTGCATTAGTTTGTGCAGATTAAGAGGAAGTCCTATCAACTAGCCACTTACTGCGTAGGCAGGCAGGTTAGCACTGCACGAGAGAACGAAAACCTGGTCAACGGTGCATTTGACACCAGTGCAGTCAACGTCAGATAAAATGTGTATCTGGTTTATACGCCTGTCGTTTGGTAACAAAAGGCAAAATACTGCAGGTGTTGGAAATCTGAAATAAAAACAGAAGTCGCTGGGAACACTCAGCGGGTCGGACGCCAACACCTATGGAGAGAGGAAAGTGAGTTACCGTTTCAGGTTCTGATGAAAGGTCATCGACCTGAAACGTTCACTCACTTTCCTCTCTCCATAGATGCCGCCTGACCTGCTCAGCGACTTATGTTTTTATTGTATGGTAATCCCAATTTAAGGAGAGCGCACAGGAGGGGCACTCCCAAGTTGCATTCCTAGCCAGGCTCCACTGGCTTCAGGTTGCCAAACGGATCGATTTCAAGATGCTAACACTTGTTTTAAAATCTCGTAATGCCCCCTCTAGGACCTCTCTATCTCTCCGACCTGCTTACCCCCCAACCCGCAACCCGCTGCCTCCCCTCGACTGGCTTGGGCCCCCTGCTTGCCCCACATGTTTCACCACTAGTGGCCATGCTTTCAGCCACTACTCGCTGAAACTCTGGAACACTCTTCCTCTATCCCTCTGCCTTGCCCCTTTCCTTCCCCCTCTTCAGGTCACGTCTGAAGACCTTTCTCTTCAACCGTGCCCCACCACTGTCAAGCGCTCTGGGACGCTACCCTGCTTGAGGGGCGCAATATAAATGCAACTTGTTCATGATCTTCTCACTCAGCTTCTGTTAACCCTGTAAGCCAAAGCTATAAACAAGTAAAGGCAGTGTTTGCTGGATAAACTGCGGCAAACTTGCCAGACTGTGCCAACTGAAGCCATCATACTCTCTGCAGAGACGTACGATACAATTCAATAGAATTCTTTACCCTGCAAGTACGTTTGATACTTTATTTAAATTTCCACCACCTTTAAACTGTGCCATTATTTTATTAAGTACTGAGCAAAAACCGGAGTGGGTGAGAGCAAGAATACGCATTTTAAAAACGAATGCCATTCAATAGGGAAGATAAAGGCACAGTGTCCAAAACCAAAGTTGCAAATTGACGTAAAAATCAATGACCTTCTCCACTATTAATGTGCTTAATGTATTGTCAGAAGCAGCGCATTGAAGTAAACCTATTGTTAAATAATTGATGGCGGTACAAGTAAAGGCACTTTGTTTCCACACAATGAATTCCTCGGAATACTTTTAATGCAAAACAATACTCTACCTCTCTATGCCATGATAACCCCGCAGTCTAGCCCAGAAGAGTCAAAAAGGCAAAGCTACAGCATAAAGCAAGTGAATGAATCTGGCTTCATTGCTAACCTCTTTTGCATCTCTCCCTAACTTGTCTTGGTAGAGATCGATCCTAACTATCCGTTAACTCTTCCACTACCATTCAAGGAGGTATCAGATTGTAATACAGGACTCCTCTTTGGTGTAGAACTCGTATGATACACATTAATAATACAGCTGGTACCACACCGCCACTTGCCCACTTGTTATCCAGTTATCTCTACGTGCGAAGCAATAAAGCAGAGATGATCGAATTAGAGTAGCCAACTCTGAAAAGTCAAGCAGCTTCAGTATGAATGGAACTGTACACTGCACGTTTTCATTTGGAGATCGTCGATTTTCTGCGTGTAGTTACAAGGCTTAGAAACATAAAGCAATATATAATAATAATCCTTGCATTTGACAGAGGGCCTCATCTCAAAGCGAAAATGTCTCAAAGCGCTTCGCGAGATTTTACTATGAAGTGTGGTCACGGTATATTTGTAGGCAAACAGTTCTCACCCGTTAGGGCTTACTTTTTTAAAACATTTTTAAATCAAATCTCGTTTTGTTTTCTTAAGAACCATCGAATCGGATCCAATTTTAAATGATTTGATATGGGGTCCTCTGCCCAAAGCTCTGCATCTCATCACATTCGTGAGCAAGGCTCAGAGTCAGCCTCGCCTCTGAGCACCCTCGGCTCTCGAGTCAGAAGGTTGCAGGTTTAATTCCCACGTCGGGACTTAAACTCGCATAGTCTTAAATGACTTAGATGGCACTGGAAGGTTGTTGCATTATCGGAGGTGCCATCTTTCGGACGAGAGACGTTAAACCGAGGTCCCGTTTACCTGTTCAAGTGGACGTTAAAGATCCCACGACACTACGCAGAAAGAGAAGGGAGTTTCTCCCGGTGTCCTGGCCAACCCCAAAAAAAAAATTGTTCACTCATTTCATGGCTGTTTGTGGAACACTGCTGTGCGTAATTGTGCTGCCGCGTTTGCCTACAAATATAGTCACTCCATTTCACAGTAAATACTGTGAAGCGCTTTGAGACACCCAACCCCGATGTGAAAAGGTGTTGTACCAAATACAAGAATTGTTATTATTATTATTATTGTTATTGCCTTTCTGCTGAAAATTTAGTCAGTCGCTGAAGTTTTTCTTTCGTAGTGGTTACTAATCGAGTTCAGCTACATCACAGTGAGATAAATATCACTACGTGGATAACACACACTGCCCACTCCTGCCGGCAATCTTCTCTTTACATGTACAGAACGGGGAAACGTTTGCTATCAGAGCCGAACAGGCCCGTCTGACTGACCGGCACAGCACGCGGGAATCCCTGGCATACTCACTGTGAATGTTGCATTGCAATCAAAGCTTTTGCTCTTCTACCTAAGTAAACAGTCGAAGAAGCGCAGGGAGGCCGTTCCATATTCAAAGGCCATTTAAAGCTGAATGGTGCTGCAACAATACTAGCAATTTTCAATAAATATATTAAATACGTCCAGATTCCAACCCTTCACCTCCTCACCTCCCACCACATGTCAAAACCTCAGAGGCAAAACAAAGTGCAAACCACGAAAGACTAAGAACATAAGAATGCAGACACAAATGATTGGGTGACTACATTTTTGAAGGCTTTATATCACATTAAAGTAAGAAGAAGAATCCTTGCATTTGATACAACGCCTTATCACGTCATCAACGCATCTAAACATTTGCAGGATTCTACTGGAAATTGTAGCGACTGTATATTTGTGGTCGAACGCAGCAGAAAATTTGCGCCCACAGCATTCCACAAAGAACCGTGAGGAGAATGGCCAATTTCCGAGCAGAAAACAATATGCTTTCGACCTTATTCAAAGCACGAGGAGATAACTTAAGAAAGTGCTGTGGGGTTCCTTACAATTCGATAACTGCACCGTACGATATCAGTCAAGGTATAGAATACTACTAAGACATGACATGCAGCTGGGAACTTTTCCTTTCACTGGGGTGAAGCCACGAGGCTTTATGCATTTCCACAAGCAGGTTGCAGAAAAGGAAAAATCCGACTCACACACCCACATGATGTTTAAGTCAAGATTTCCGTTGTACATCGACTTTAACAGATGATAC